ATGGTGCTTTATCTAAGCTGTGGACTCATCAGACAAAATATGCGTATAGAGCCGGGTGTGGTGGCTCATGCTTGTCGTCCCAGCAGTCACCGGGAGGCCGAGGCAGGAGGATCTCTGCGAGTTCGAGACCAGCCTGGGCTGCAAAGTGAGCTCAAGGCCAGCCTGGACTGCACAGCGAGACCTGCCTCAAAAAGACATGCACCTCTCGGTAACGACAAGAAGCCTTTTGCTTTCCTAGTCAATATGCATCCGCTCCTCCCTGCGTAATCCACCCTCTTACTGGAAATGCGTCTCGAAATTTTGGGAAGAGCTCAGGTTAGAAATACCCGTCCGATCCAGGCCGCAGAGTGCCCCAGAATCAAATCGCAAAGGTCAACATTTCCATTTGCAAACAATCTCTAGGAGAGGAGGATTTGATCCCCAACCGACGATGTTTTAACTAACCGAAATTGGTTTTCATGTGCTCAACAGGGAAGAGAAAACATCGGGGTAAAACAATTATTACCCCAACATGTGACTTCAGCAAGAGCCAGCGAGGAGGAGGATGTTGCTCATTTAAAGGGAAACAATCCTCGGACTCTTGATGCATTGCTGAACGTCGAATGCTGCTCTAATATTTTTAGATTAATAATTTTAGGAAACGAAATAAATGACCCATTTTTATTGTGTCTTTGCAGCTGGTTGACAAGATGCAAAATTAATTCTACCGAATCTTTGTTTTAGAACTAGCGAGCATGCTGAGTTTATCTTCTGCAAAAATCAGATTTGCATCGGGTTATTGGATTGACAATCGTTATGCTTTGTAGAGGTTTTAGGGTAAACTGAGGCACTCAGCTGTCCTGTTTTCCAGGGTCAGAAAGACAGCAGAAATACATGAACCGGGTCAAGAGAAGGCACCCTGGAGCTTCTCAGGGGAAACGCCACAGGACCAGGGCGAAGGCTGACGGCCTAAAACACAGGCCTGCTCCTCCAGCAGCAGAACTCGGCACACAGCTACAAAGCACCCGTTTGCTCTCGGCCTGGTGCACCGTGACACGATCTCAGCAATCTGCAAAACACTCCTGCGTTTAATTCCAGGTCAGTCGAGCAGGCTCATGGATTCGACAGTCAAAATTAGCACTGTCCATCTGCAATTGATTCTCGGTCCCCCTCAGTGTCCAGGCAGGCGGACGGGGCCGGGCTGCAGGAGCCAGTGCAGAAGGACAGACACCCCGCAGTGGCGGGGGACACAGACAGACACTCCGCTGAGGCCAGAGCTGCACGCGGGAGGCCCAGCAGACGCACCCCGTCCTGGGCTGATGCTCTAACCGGGTCCCGTCAGTCGCCCCGAGGAGCCAGCAGCCACCACCCGGCCTGCAGGAAGGGCCCGCTCTGTGTGCACGCCCGCCTGCCGGGCTCGCTCCCCAGTGCTCCCCAGTTAGTCAGTCAGCTAACTGAGCAGTTGATCGCATCGGTCACCCACAGTTCTGTCCCCCTCACGCCCACCCTGCTGGTCCCCATTTTTCCCCATCTTGCACCCAGCCCACCCCACGATTTTGCTCTGTAAAATCCCTAGAAAAGACAGAGTCCCTGGCCGCCTGCTTGGGACCCTGCTGTCTCCCCAGACAGAAGTTTTCTTGCTCTCAGTAAATATTTATGCTCTTCACCTCCAGTTCCTAAAACTCTTTCTTAGATTTTAGAGAACATGAACTCTCACCGGACAGCTAGTTGCTTGGGAGTTTCTTTCCCCTCTATCAAAACTAACACAAATTGTGAAGAACACTTTCTGTTTATGGTACTGTGTCTCTATGGATGGGCTAATGGGATTTGGATACCAGTCCATTTTCCCGTGAAGGCTTCTTATGATTAGAGAAGCCAATAAAAGCCAAATTGATTGATTCATGAATTTTAGTCATACAATGAACAGGAGAAATTACAATGTCCATAGACCCAAGTCTTAACCGAGGGAATATTATACGGCCATGAACAGTAACATGGCTCCCCAAAACTCAGATTCAGACCTTTCTACAGTGTAGAAATCGTAAAGCACAATGACCGATTCTCTCGGGAGACCTGACAGGTTTGTTGGTGATGCTGAGGTTCGAACCCAGGACCTCACCCACGCTGCACAACAGCTCTAACTCCAAGCCCATTGCAGCCTTCCTAAGCACTACGATTCCTAACGTCCACCACAGGAATTTAAACAGTGAGCAATCATACTGAACAGCAGCAGGGGAAATGTCAGCTGAGCCTGCACAGAGAAAGAATCCTGCAGAACCCTGGCCAGCTGTCTGCACCCCGGTGGAGGATTTGCACGCAGAAGAGCTCCTTGTGAATGTGATCAAAATGCAAACATCAACGGTGCCCCCCCAAACAGAGGCTGGAATGACCCGGATGGATTCTCAGCACGTCTGAAAGCACTAATCACATTGAAGAAGCTCAATTCTATTGCACGTATTTCCACAAGATGCTAATTAATTAACTGCACAAAGTTCTGCTCTTAGATATATTAAATAATTGCATTTATTTCATTTTAGAATGAAGGATCCCCACCTTAGTTCCTAGATTTCTTAATTTTTATGTTTTTGTCAATGTCCCCAAGCACCTAAAAATCTATGGTTAAAGTGAAGAAATAAATAAATAAATTTAAGAAAAATCGATAGGTAGAAGATGGCATACAAGACAAGTGTTTTATTATCAATGAATCCTTTACTGTTTTTCTTCTAGTACAGTATAGAAAAACTGTGGCAGGTCCACGAGGATTCATTGATGAGCAAAAATATAAAATTTCAGTTTTGGAAATTTTAGTCGATCTGTGATCCTTGTATTATGATGTAACTGCCGTACCGTTGGAATTGGAAGACCTGTTGTGGCCTCCCCAGTTCCCTGTCATCAATAAACCCCTTTTCTGGAACCTGGACGGGCCAGGCAAGCACTGTGTGGAACCTTCAGTGTTATTTTTAATCTTCAATCAATGAGTTTGAGCTGATGCAGAGCTCTGCAGCAGAAAGACTGCCCTAAAATCAGATTTATCAAGTTCTGCCTTGAAATTCCTTTGCAGGTGTTTACGGTGTGCAGGGTGACACTTTAGTACCCGAACATACTGTGTGGTGACCCGTTGGCACGGCCATCCTCCCCAAATTGATCCTTTCTTTGGGGTGAGAAAATTGTCAATCTACTCCTCCCCTGCTTTGCAATGCACAATACATTGCTGGTAACTGATGACTGTCTGCACTGGCCTAGACCTCGAGGTGTCATCAGTTATCACCCCTGACTATGACATCCTGCATTTTGCCACCATTTGGTAAAGCTTGATGGGTTAAGTGGCCATGCTGGACAGGTTTACACCGGAACTGGCCCAAAATGGTCCCGTTGTAACCCCTCACTGTTCAACAAGTGAACTTTGGTTTTCTGATTGATCCATTAGTGGATTTTCGTAAAATAAAAATAAAAGTACAAATGAAGAAAAATAAAAGAAAGGTCAACATTTTGAATCCACCCAGCACATAGTGACAGCCAGCAGAGCACAAGGAACGAGCCTCAGAAACTTCTGGAAGAGGAATATTCCAGAACTTTCCAGAACATTCCAGCTGCCTGTGAGAGGTCCAGAACCTTCCAGAACATTCCAGCTGCCTGTGAGAGGTCCAGAACCTTCCAGAACATTCCAGCTGCCTATGAGTGAAAGGTCCAGAACCTTCCAGAACATTCCAGCTGCCTATGAGAGATCCAGAACCTTCCAGAACATTCCAGCTGCCTGTGAGTGAGAGGACTATGTTGTAGTCAGCGGTTGCAAGGAGAACAACGTCATACGGGACACAGAATGTATAGTGTGATTTTATGATGGTCACCCGAGGAGTTAAATCTGAAGAGAGTGCGGGAAATCTGTGCACACACTGCAGACCCGAGGTAATGCAGCCGGGGTCCAGCTGGAGGCCAGAGCCCGTGACGATGCCCCGCGCCTTCTGTTTCACGGATCTGCAGTGCAAAGGCCCAGAGGCCAGCGGCGGAAGCTGGCAAGTGTGTGCCTGCAGGATGAAGGCGCTGTGTCCTGAGTGCGTGTCTGCAGCCCTGCTTCTCCTGCAGGAGCTCGGTGTGCTGGTCCCGACGTGAACTCGGCTGCTGTCATCAGAGCAGCTCGGGCCTCGCTGTCGCTGAGGAGGGCTGCCGTGATTTTTGGGGAGCCCTGCTCCCCACTTTGAGCGTGGCGTCCAGGCTCCGTGTGCATTCTGCAAGACGCGTGCATGGCGTTAAGGACACATGAGTGTCCCCGTGCTGCTGCAGACACGTGCTGTCCGGCCTTCAAACCTGTGTGTTGCATGATGACTGCCTGCACGATCACCTTTTGCATAAAGACTTCTGCAAGATTATTTGTCAGGAGAACCCTGAGCCAAAACCCTGACGTGCCTACAGACGGGCGCTCAGGAGACGATGCATGTTAGGAGCCAAAACATAAACATTTCTTCCTTCAAACTGGAGGTGTTGTGTCGCACGCATCAGCCGTCAGAATGAAACCCAGACAGCCGAATTTGGTGGCGAGAAACCTGCCAGAATCTACGTGCATAAAACGCAGATACAGAGCTACCTTGAAAAGCGTGCAGATTTACACACTGGCACACAGTGTTTTCATCTGGGATGCAAGAGTTAGACACAGAAACTAATTTTGGGTTTTCGGCACAATCTTAACGTGTTTAATGATGCATAGAAGCTCATATTTAACTTGATGATGTAGAAAAATTCTTGGAAATTCTAGAGATAAAATTCTAATCTCTTCTAGTTTGTAAAGCACAGCAAGACGATGCCCAGAATTAAATCCGTTTCAGCTGAATATCTTTCCGAATGCATTTCCGGTACGAAAGCACGGGCTTTTTAATATTTCCAGACAAAATGGGGGGTTCAATTCATTTTCAGAATGTAGCATTCTGTTTTTGACACAGGTACATATTTTTAGCAGATATTTGCAGGAAGAGATTATGTTTTTCTTTCTTGTACCATTATAGAACTGATGACATTGCAAATTCTAATTTTCAAAATCTAGCTTGTTTAATTTCCTTAATTACATTATCTTCTTTTAGGCATTTTTTTGGTAGAAAAATAATGGATTGCAGATGATAATAGTTAAGAAAGAAAGAAAGAAAGAAAGAAAGAAAGAAAGAAAGAAAGAAAGAAAGAAAGATAGATAGATACATATCCCACATGACAGGACACAATGAACCAGGATGGACCAAAGGAAGGACGCGGAGGCCCCGGATAAATATTTCCTGGCCCTGTTTCTTTCTGGCTGGCAACTCCACCTCCTCAGACTCAGCTTTTCCTTTCTTGTTTGCCTGCAGCATAAAACAGGATCTCAGAGAGATTTCGTGTTGCCAGGGACCTTAGCCCTTGATTTTCACAGCCAGGTTATGGAAACAGTCTGCGTGTTTGTCAGTCAACAAACACGTGGAGAGAATGTGCTGTATTCACACCATGGCGGGTGCCTCCACCCTTCACATAATGGCTTCTTGGCATTTTCCCCCATATATACGACTGGAGGACAGTTTGTTAAGTGGCAGACGTTAGGCACAGAAGGGCAAGGACCCTGAGGTCCCACCCAAGTGTAGAAAGTAAGACAGTCGAGCCGATCGATTATTATTGTGGAAATCTGGGTCATCGTGACCTTCAGCACCACCGTCTCCATCACCGTAATCACCACCATCACCACCATCTCCATCAGCAGCGCTCCCACAGACCAGGGCAACATTTTGTCGAAAACGGATCTTGTTCCTAAAGAGCTGATACACATGTCACATTTTATGTGTTTAATTGCATGCATTATCCTCTAGGAAAAAAAGTTGCATTTTTATCTGCCCTGAACAGGGCACCTTTTAATGCTGCAGCTGACCAGCTTCCGTGCCAGCAGATGACAACTCACACCGAGTGATTTCGTTACGGCCAGCAGGCTGGAAGCCACAGGCCGGCCCGTTCCTGGGGCAGAATATAGAGCGTACTTTACATTCTGCAGCAGACGTAACCCAGCAGGAAGAGACTGTTGGTGCAGACAGGACATTCATCATCAGACCTTAAGGAGTAATTAGAACCCCAGCCCTTCCCCACAAGGGGAACCCACGAGGACAGGGATTTCCAGGCCCCCGGCTTGCTAACCAAGGATTGACGATTCACTCAGCAGCCCTGGGTACTTAACCCACCTGGGCTTGGTCAACGCAGTCAGCCAGAAATGATGCAATCAACAAACGCGATATTTCTCCAGGTCTTCACAGTCTGTGATATCTGGGCCTGCAGAATAAAGCAAGTCAGAAGACCAAGCGGTGTGTGACTCCATTGCCACAGAAAATCCTCCCAAGCATCTGAGGATAACATGGGCAGAGAATTGGCACGTTTGGTGGTACTAAAACATCCTCAGGAAGCCCTCTGCTTATATTTAACTTTGACTAGAACTTTGAGTATGTGGAGCGACAGAAAAAAAATTATTCCAGGATCACAAAGACCCACTGTGCCAAGCTGTGGCACTTATCTGCAAGAGGTCTAATGGGGAGCATCTCCGGGGTCCATCAAACTTGTGACATTTAACTGATAAAACTCAAATAAGAAATGCCCACGGAATTTGGACCAACACGGTTGCAGATATAGAAGACCCGCCCTAGTGAGGTTTGTTGAAAGAATAACAGAGTCCCTTCAGCTGCCCATCCAAGACCCATCACAGACACTCAGGGGCACTAGGTTTGTGGCTGTGTCCTTTTTGGCTCCACCTAACAAGGCTGGCGAACCAAACTTGTAAAATTCCCTAATACGAGTAGATTTTGTACCAAACCTGTCCCATTAGCAAGCGCTGACTGACACCAAGCTCCTGTGTGATCTCTGTGCCTCAGTTTCTGAAGAGTGTGCAAATAGAGATTTTCTAGCCTGTGAAGAATCAGAAGTAAATATTTCTGATCTTAACTCCACTGTTCCTAAAACTCTTTCTTTGATTTTAGAGAACACGAACTCCTACCGCACAGCTAGGATCCCAGAAGTTTGTTTCCCTTCTGTCAATGCACCCTAGGCTTGCGATGTGGACGGGTACCGAGCCGTGTGGGCGAGTCTCTGTCCCAACCCGGGTGCCCACCGCTGCACGCAGAGGGGCAGGAGTCTGCAGGGGGGCGCGGAGGCACGGACGGCCCAGCACACCCTGCGGGTTCGGTGGGGTTTGGCTTTGGGAGCCAGCCGTTCTCTCTGGCTGGACCTGGGTGGACCCTGCGAACTGACCCGGGGCTGCCTCTGGCCACCGGCCTCGCCGTCTAACACTGTTTGCTTGGCTCTTTGGTCGCTGTGAACTTTTTGTCCACTAGTTACGATCAAGAATGACCTTCAAAAAAACCAGCCATGTGCTCCGAGTTTGGGGAGGAAGATTACACAGTGGGGTGCTGGGTCCAGTCTGCAACAGTCACACGTGAGAAGCCCGTTTGCAAAAATTTAAGGGCGAGTCCAGGCTCACATTTCCCATTTTGCTCACAAAGTCCACGGATTTGTTAAATCATCCCCGCTGGAAACACCCCAAGACCTCACGTGCACAAGGGTCACTGTCTCGCATCCCCGAATTAGCTTTATCTGATCACCAGAAAGTCACAGAAGGCGACAAGGGTTTCTACAGACCAGAAAGGGCAGGAGACAGGTAGCCATCTGGGACGTGTGTGTGTGTACGCGTGCGTGCGTGCATGTGAGTGTGCATGTGTGTGTGCATGTGTGAATCCAGGGCTTTTGCCCTGAGCCGCGTCCCCGGACATTCCCTAATTGTGGATCCTGACACAGGCAGGGTCTTGCTAACTCAGGAAGCCTGCAAGCCTGAGCTCACACTGGAAATCCTCCTGCCTCAGCCTTCCCGAGCGGTGCGTGTCCAGGTGGAGCCACACAGCCCCGCTTACACCTTCTGAGTGCTGCAGGCTCCAGGAGCCGTCACCCCACCTAGGAAAGCCAGTCTCACCCTCCGGGGTCCTCATCCAAAGACCGACGGCCCTCGGCAGGACGCAGGCTGTCCGTGGGGAGCTGTAATGCTCAGCGTGTCCCAGACACATCCCAGGATGCCGAGACAGCAGATGTTGTCCTCGCCTGCACAAATCAGGCATCATCTTGTTGCACAAATGCAGTGTGAGCTAAGGACACGGCGGGCGTGAGAAGTCTCAGAAAACACATTCACACCTTCGGGGAGCCGTGTGCACAAAACGCTGTGTCATCAACAAACAGACCGAGGTGCAGGCAGCTGCCCGAGCACGCAAAGAGCAACTCTTGCTGTGATTTTAAAAGGCGTTTCCTACACGGACAAGAAAACCAAATAAATACAAAATTCCTCAAGGGGTGCACCAGCAAGGCGGGCTTTTTATTTCGTAACTCCCCCGTTCACCAGAGCTGGTGCTGGATTCGAATCAGCCCCCGCGTGTTCTGCACGGTTAAAATCATTTGCTGGTGTTTTTGGATAATAAAGACCCATTAAATGCTTCACAGGCAAAGATAATTTTTTGCTCGGAGGAATGAAGAAATGTTTTGTGCCGGAATCTCTCAGTGAAACACCAGCCACAAAGCCAAGAATGTGGAGGATGGAGAGGCCCCCAAATAACAGGAATCTGGTCCTTTCCCAGGTTTGCAGGGGCAGAAAATTCCCTAAAGCTCCGACCCAAAAAATCGAGTGTGAAAAATGTCACCAATATGGAGGCACAAAGCAGTCTCTCTCCTTCATGCAGAAGATGAATACTATCACCTGCCTCCCGGCTGCTCTGCTATATTTTGCAAATCTTTTAAAGAACGCACATCAACCTCACCCTGGAGACCCCCAGCTCAGCACCCCGGCACCTCAACACCCTCGGCAGGTGCCCCCTCCGCCACAACCATAAAATGAATATTGATTGACCTGAATGTGCATTTCTCCCCAGCCACAGCAGATGCTAACGAGACTGCCCTCACCCCTGGGTGGAAACTCCTGCAAGCACAAAATCATGCAACTCCAAAGTGATGCTGCTGTGAGCACAGCCCCGGGTCTCCCGAAGGCGCCATGCGGTTCTGTTTGTGCAAACACCCAGGTCTCCCCCGCGGGCAGGGTGCAGGAGGAGGAATGGGACCCAGGCCAGTCTGGGTTTGGTCCCACTTTGACCTCCACTGCAGCTTCTAAATCCAAGGAGAGGAGCACCCCAGGTGAGGGCGTGAGGATCTGTCTCCTCCGGGCAGAACTTTGGGCGCTGGGCGCTGGGTTCTGCGGATCGTCAGGAGCTCGGTGTATTTTGGGAGGGTGGTGGGTCGCTTGGGAGGCCTCAGTTTACCTAGGAAATACTCATGGACCCTTAAAAGAGAAGGAGAAGGGAAGGGAAGAGAGGAGAGGAGAGAGAGAGGGAGACAGAAAGTCGTGATGAGCCTCGGTACCCAGTAAAGCACTGATCTGGAGAATGTATTTTTCTTTTTCAAGTCTTGGTCTCTAAAATTTTTCCCACAGAGAAAAAGGTTTTTTTTCCAACCTACAAAGGGCACAAAATTATTTAAGTTTTCCTTGTGCATCCCGCATCGTCGTGATGGTGTCTTGTAAGTCTGCAGGGCGATTTTCCCCAGTAGGCACCATCCGGCCCGCAGTCCGCAGAGGGAATTCTCCCCGCTGTGCTCCGTGTAATTAGACGCGATAAGCACCTCTCTGATTAACACACACAATTATCGTTAGGACGGGGGATCGCTTAATAAAGTCTCGCTTGTTAGATGAGGGAAGATTATTTACGTCTCATTTAACGTTTCCAAGAGCTGCACATTTTTGTCATTTTGTGCCAAAGAAGCAGAGGCCCGTAAACTTATTTTAACTCTATTAAATGCTCTTTGAACTTGCCTAATTTTGATCTAATTTTTTTTTTTAGTGTACTCAGAATAAAAGGGCTCATCGCTGTCAGCATTTACTTTGCCATTTTTGTGTTTTCTGAGACACCGTCTCTCTGGATGGTTCAGGCCGGCCTTGAACTCTCGGGGATCCTCCCGCCTCGGCCTCCGGATGCTGGGGCTCAGGGTCCTGCACCAGGAACGGCTTAGGAAATCTGCATTTGAGAAGGAAACAGTTAGCTCACAAAAAGAAGGGTCCTCTGTCCTCAGAGTCTTTAGCTGCGCTGTCCTGGCCGCCTCCATGTCCCGAATCAGTAAGTTGTTGCAAAGATTTGGCTCAAAGGTGAGACCCTCCCGCCTCAGCCTCCCGCAGCGCTGAGATTAGGAGCAGCTGCGTGTTTGGATTCTTAGAGACAGAGAAAATGTCTCAAAGAGCTACCCCAGGCCTAAACTACAGTTCCCTGGCTTTCAGGTGGAGAAGAGGGGAACCCCAGGGCAGCCAGAGGTAAATAAAGGCACAGGCCCCCTCCTCGGGCGAGGAAGAGAAAATCGTACATTTAATGTGACCCGGGAGGCTGATGCAGGAGGATCTCAAGTGAGAGCCCAACCTGGGAGACCTAGTGACTTAATGAGCTGGTATATCAAAATTAAAAAATAAAAATAAAAAGGGCCTGGAAATACATGTCAGTGCAAAGGTCCTGCGGTAGTTCCTCAAAAAGAGAAAAGCAAACAAACAAATGGGAAAAAAAAACACACACAAGAATGTTTTAGGCCACCAATAATTTTCACCCCAATGAGAATAACGTTATTATCATAGAAAATATATAGCAGAAGTCACTGAAAGCTTCATTTCTAAAACCCCAGCTACCCTCATATGTCACGTAATATCTGCTGCTTCTTTATGGCAATCTCTTCTCAAAACCAAAAGAAAACCCCTACGAGACTGTACAATGCTAACGTTAAAGGGATTCGAATCCAACACATGGAAAAATAAGACACTCAGCGACGTGTCACGCCTCACGGCTTCGCAGTGAGATCTCTGAGCTCCTGAGTGACCGAGTGACCACCGGACCTTAGAAGACGGCCCGGCCCGTAGGACGCTGCTAACGATTTAGGAGCCCGGAGCCCAGCTGTCCGTCCTAAGGGACCCCGGGCTGTTTCCCCCGAAAACACACCCCAAGAGTGTGATGTGCACAATCACCGGGCAGAAATGAACCAGAGACACAAAGAAATGGCTCTTTCGCTGTCTGTACCGGGACCCGCTCACGGCGCCTCCCTGGCCAAGGTTTCCTTTGCACCGCAGGACGATGCACGCAACTTGGGGAAATCTGTTAAAAGTGAATAATCATCCTTTAGAAAGCAAAAAATATATGGCATTGCAGCCAGAGTGCTTCTTAATTTTAACTTAAAAATTCTAATCTGCCCTCAGGTCACGAAAACATCATTTCTTATACTATGGGAACGCACACGGGAGAAAAATAGTCATTTGCAAGAAGCAGAGGTTGGGTCACCCTGAATTACAGATAATATTCAGAAAAAGCTACCAAATCCACAGGTTACGCATTCCTCTCTTCCCTGGAAAAGCCCTCGTTTGCAAGGCACCCGGCTCTTGTGGAGAAGCCATTGTGTATCATACAAACCTGATGCTCAAAAATTCAAAATATTCAGTAGAGGAACCTGCGTTCATCGACTGACACTCATACTAACGATTATTTAGAATTTCCCTCAATCTGAGACACACGTCTGGCGTCACTGACGCCTGTGTCTTGCCGAACTCGGCTTGCCTGAGAGCTGAGGATTTCGGACGTGAAGTGGAGGGTCCTTTTTGTAATAACCGCCCTCTGAATCCTACTGAGCTCCCCCCCACATTTGTAAATCAGATTTTAAATCCAGGAGAGAGCATGCAACTGACAGCGACCCACATTAAAAGCGCTTATGGTGTGTTCCATTTGCTCGACTATGTGTGGGGGGCTGGACGTGGAGCCCTAAACCGTTCCCCGGAGCTGCACCCCGTTTTTTGTACCCAGCATTTTCTTTTATTGTAAAGGACATTGTGGGGACAACGGATGGCGCATGGGCCCGATTAAGGAGGAGAATCCTGCTGGGTCGCCTCTAATATGCACGCTCAGGAGATGTTTGCACATCTATCACACGGGACGTTTTCTCACTGTCTGCATTTACTTTTAATATAATTGTATTTTAAAGAGGGAAAAATTAAGCAGAACAAAACAGATCATGAGATAACAATGTAAGAGACAGATTTCACAGCAAGACAACAGGACGTCACCATGATGTCTCTTGTTCTCTACCAAATAGTTGTCCATTTCTTTGCACACAGTGAATTCATGCAAAACAAAATAGTATTAAACTGATCAGAACTCAGTGATGAAGGCATTTTAGGTCTTCAGGACCAAACAACAGGGAAATCAACAACAGCTGCCCTCGGGTCTCTCGTTCTCTTCATGGCATAATCTTAAATTTACAGAAAAGTTACAAAAAGACTGAATGGACCCCACCTGCCCTAAATGTCTTTATTTTGAGCCTGGATCCTGCTAAGTGTCTTAATCATCCAGGCCAGGCTCAGACTGGGACCCGCCCGCCTCGGCAAAGCTCTGGTCAGACTCTCACTGCATGGGCCTCGGGGATAATTTTATTGATGTCTAAACGAGCTACGGTTTTGCAAAGGAGCATCCTCCTTAAATGACAAGCAGAGGGAACGCTCTTTGCAGATCTGCAAGAATACGATTCACAGCTATCGGATGTATACGGGGTTCCGTGGTGCGTGCACACGTACCTGAGTGTGTGCACGTGTGCGGCATCTCAGAGGATCAAACAAAGCTATCTGTGCACAACCAGCCTGTCCCACAGGGACCGTCAAGGGCAGAGCGGGGGATCCATCACCAATTTATCGATGCCTCCCGGCTGATCACCTGGGAAGCTTTGCAAACTCTGTGTCTCTTCTTTGTGAATCCGGAAGGTTCCACGTCTGCAGCCCACAGAGCTGGAACCCTGCAGCACTCGCTGGGCTCCCAAAGTGCTTCACGGTCTTCTCTGTCTGACTAAAACCTGCACAATTGTAAGCTTAATTTATTTTATGCACCTTTATATGCCTATCACCGTAATACGGGATCTGTGGCATGACCTACAATGGCCTTAGATCTCATTCAAAGGGGTCTAATCTAGCTGGACTCGTGAGTGATTTTCATATTGGATAAAATTGTTAACTAATCGGCTTTTCGTGGTGAAAATATAAAACCCGAGAAGACCTTCACACGTTTATTAACAAACATGAGTTCATTAAAACGATCTCCTGGCTATGTAATTTATGAAGTAATTAATTCTGAGTTAAATAATTATTTACTGGAAACTCAGTTTTGCTGTGGGACAGAAAGCCATGCTTCTCTGGTGTGACATCACGCAGTTGCTGTGTGATTACTGATTAGTCTCAGGCATAACAAAAGCTTTCTTTAAAATCGCTCAAACAGTCAGACATCTATCGTGCCTTTGTTCATTGTTAGATCAACAGCTTCCCGGCCACTTACAGGTCACACACCAGGTGCAGAATGGTCAGCTCGTACCTGAATTTTTCTAGCTATTTTGCCAAAGTTTCAGTGCACGAAAGGAAGAAATTTTTCTTATGTTGGATGTTCCACCGAGTACCTGGGACGATCTAGCGGGGCGTGGTGGCTCACGCCTGTCACCCCAACACTCAGGAGGCCGAGGCAGGAGGATCTCTGCGAGTTCCAGACCAGCCTGGGCTGCAAAGTGAGCTCAAGGCCGGCCTGAGCTGCACAGCGAGACCCTGTCTGCAAAAGCCAAAAAAAATAAATCTGGGGAGTTCCCAAGGTGTTGGTGAGTGGGGTCTCCACTGGGGGGAGAAAACCCCATAATTTGTATCAAAGTCATCACAGCTGTATCGGAAAACACCCATCACCCCCTTTCCCAGTTGCCATGGTAACGGCTCCTCTCGCGGTCCAGGCTGCTTCCGTCCCTTAGTAACCACTGGTCACCCTGGTGCACGCTGCAGGAACCCATCAAAGACGGCCCAGAGCTCTGTTCCTCGCCTGCAACCCCGTGACAACCTCCTTCCCTCCTTCTCCGGGGGACAAACAGACAAACACGGGGAGAGAAAGCTGCATCCACGGCCAGCAAGCAGCCTCCACCATTCTCGGGCCTCGGCCACCCGGAACGTGGACGCAGCCTCCAAAAGGGAGCCAGGGAGGCCAGCTGTACGCCAGCGCCTCGGGCTGTGGGACTGCATGTGGCGGCCAGAGCTGACTAAGCCGCATCCACAGCAGTCCTGTGGCCAGTGCCATGGGTGCGATTTGTGTCTCTCACAGATCCTCAGCCCAAGCTGCTAGTGTCAAAGCTGGGGGCTCGGGGAGGTGCAAAGGTCCCATGGAGGGGACCCCCATGCTCATCACAGACACCCCAGAGAGACGTGGGGACCCTACCACCACGTGAGGTCACAGCGAGGAGCTGCCGTGTGTCACACAGAACAGCTTGGACGTCCAGCCTCCATGGTTGCTCAAGTGACTAATGGATGTCTCTGGATTGTAAATCACCGAGTCAGTGCATTACCACAAAGAGGTGAATCATCGGCCAGCTTTTAAGCAGCTGATTAAAGAAACCTGCCACCTACCAGCTCCGATTCGGGGGGAAGTCTGCCAGGCTGTGGTTCCGGGGGGTTCAGTCCAAGGGCAGCTGCCCACAGGGCAGAAACAACATGGTGGGGGTGTGGCGGGGGGCAGATGCCACCCTGCAAAAGTCACACGTCCACGACCCTCGTCCTCCAACCAGTTAACTCTTCCCTGTCAGTTATGGACTCAAAAATAATTCCATCCATCTGCCAGGCTCACGGCCTCGTGAGGACACCGTGTCCCCAAGAGTTTCTGCACCCCGTCAAGGTGATCACAGTGATTATTCAGCCCATTTAGCAAACAGTCGGCTGAGTTCCTTTGATCACATTTTTCAAATCCATTTTATTTCAAGGAAAAAAACAAAAAAAAAACACTAAAACAAACTTTGAAAACACATTCATTTGGGGGCACCAATGGTACCTACGTTGGTACTGTCACCCCGAATCACTCGCCCAGAGCACGGGACATCTGCATTCAACTTTCCCAACAATACCAGCTCAAGGGTTCTCTTCAGTGAACTCAGAGAAATCAGTAGTGTGAGTACCTTAACTATTTTTATGCACATACACATATGT